GGCGGAGTTGAAGGTTGAGGGTTCAGGGCTCGAAATCCTCTACCCTACATTTGGTTGTTGCACATCTACAATGCCAAACGGTTTAGGGTTTAGGGTTTAGGGTTTAGGGTTTAGGGTTTAGGGTGGTTCCCAGAGCGTACCTGGCTGGGGGCCCTTATAGTCCAAATCATGTAAGGGCCGTAATAATTGGAAAAGGGTTTTGGGCTCCTTTATAGTATAAGTATAATAAGGACCCTGAGGAATCTTTTTTATAATTATATTTAGGCTTCTGTATTACGCACTCGGCCCTGAACAGTCCTCAAGACTGACTCTGAGGTTGAGGAGGCCTTCAAGAAGTGGGACATCACCGGTGATGGTCGCTCGCTGACTTCCGTCCGGGGTTGTGAGCTGTGTCCTAAACCCTAAACCCTAAACAGTGATTGTGCTGCCAAACAACCCTAAACCTAAACCTGCAGAGTCACGTTTAGGGCCCCGAAACCAAGTGCCCCGATCCCGGAGAACCCCACCATGGAAGAGTACATGAAATACGTGGAGGATAGTTGAATGCATGCGAGTGCGACACCGAGAGAACATTATTACTGTTGTTGCCGGTCGCATGCATAGTAGCTGATTTGTCTCCGTTCTTATCGGATTGGCTCTTAATTGTTTTCTCCTAATCAACTCGTGGCTTGGGTGTTTGTGCAGTAACAATCACTCGCTTTCCGTTTTGGAGTCTCATGTCCGTTGGCCGTACACGCAAAGCGGGCAGCATGAAGACAGCCGCGTTCATGACAAGGTCCCAAACCTAGCAGGTCCTGTTTTTCACTGCCATGACTGCTTTGGGGCAGGCCTCAGAAAGCCGCCACAACCCGCAAGGCCCCGAAGTCATAGCCGTGCTGTGCAAAGCCGGACTTGCAGGCCGAAGGTTTGAGTCTCGGAGCTTCGCCGAGGTGCAATCAGCCGTTACGAGCTCCATGCGGCGTTGACACAGCTTGGCATGGACGAAGCGCAGGCGCTGGCTGGATTGCAGATTCCGACCCTGCCGTTCGCAGCCCGAAAAGAAGCAATTGGCACATTCAGTGGCAGTGGCAGCCACCTGCAAAGTGATCTCACGAAAGCAGAGCTTGTTCATGCTTACTTCTCAGGTGGCCAAGTGCTTCAACTCAGCTGACATTAGCTCCTTGGAATCACCTGGATCCGTCGGTTCCGGTACGCATTTGCAGTTTTATGTTTAGGGTTAGGGTTCTGCACCGCCTACCCTGCGTCGAGACAAATTTCGCCTGTAAGGCCAAACCCTTCAACAAAAACCCTAAGCCCTCATAGTGGGAAAACGAACCCTTATAAATCCTAAGCCCTAAACCCTAAGGAATACAACCCTAAGGCAAAGACGGAATGCTCCAGTACGATGAGTTCCTGGACTGGGTCTTCAAGGATCCCACCGTGGTCTCCTGGCGCAGATCGGGGTTGCGTGGACAGCCCGCTAGAAAAGGGTTTGGATTTAGGGTTCAAAGGCAACTTATCCAAAGGTATAGAATAGCCGTAATTAGCGGAAGAGGACATGGTGAGCGAATAGCTGCGTAGCGTATATTTATGTCCAGGGAGATATTTTCAGGATCTGCAATCAACCATGCAATCATGCACCGACGCACCGTGGGCTTCGTTTCTGATTGCCGATACGGCAGAGGCCACGTGAGTCACGGTCAGCACCAGGATTTTTCTCGTGGGGCATCGAGATTCATGTAGGGATCATATAATGTCCCAGACCAAGGCAAAGGTTCAGGACGTCGTCTACTTAAGCTTACCTGAGAAAACTTTTAAGCTGTTTGCTTCGTCCATAAAATCTGGAGTGAAGCTGCTTTTGGGGAGGGCGGGGCAGTCACGAATACCCGACCTGACATCCTAAACCCTGCATGCGAGACCCATCGGACTGTCATTGCTGGCTGCCTCAAGGGGAACCGTAGTGAAGAACACGTGCCACTTGAGGAAGGACAGTTTCGTTCCACGGGATTGCATCATGTAGTCAAAGTGTTCGAAGTAAAACCAGGATGCAACCCAAGATATGACGCATGCCGGATCCGCACCCTGGACACCACTGGCAGAGATAATAATGGCAGTCCAACGTAGTCCACGTGCACCGTACAGGTTTGCGCATACAGCCTGAAGACGGCGTGGCTGGGCTGCAACTTCGCGGTTGCTATCGCAGGTGTAATTTGGGTAATTCTCTAAATTCGGGTCACTATAAGGGTCCCTGTTATAAGGGTGCCGCACTATATTGGGGACCTAGAAAAGGGACTTTAATCTAAAGAACTACACATGCCAGGATTTGCTTTTGACATTGCAGTCATGAAGCCTTGGGTATTATACACATAATATAGTAATATGTATATATATATATATATACATATATATATATATATACATATATATATATATATACATGTATATGTATGTATGTAACATATGTGTGCACTGCGGGACACTGCTACATGTAATCGCACATTATCATCAGCCTTTGTGTAGGATCGCGTAGGAGACGCTGCTTCTTCTGATACGGGGTTACCACTTCAGCTGAAGGCTAAGTGTTCTTTGTTATGAGCACTTGGAGGGTGGGGGACTTAGTATCTAATAATTTATAGATTTAAAAGTACCATAACCCCAATTAGGATCCCTTTTGGGGTACTTATAACTCTACTTAATATCTACTTACTAAGTCCCCCCGACCCTCCAAGCAGGGCTTTAACATCCGTCGAAGTGCCGAAGAAGCTCCCTTATTTTGTGCCTCACAGGTTGGATTGAAGGCTGCCGCCTAGGCCTAGGCCTAGGCACTTTCAGTCGGCTCGATTCGAGGTGCAGTCGGCCTTTAGTGACCCTGGCCGTTCCAAGCAATCGGAGAAACTCACAGCTAGCAGGCGCGAGGTGCAGCATCTTCCGAACAGCTTTACGGTTGGTTGGTTCGTCGACCAAGCCTCTTCATCACGGGCCTTAGATTTACATAGACTTGTGTGCAAGAATATGTAAACATTATAAACTCTAAACCCGAACCCCTAAACTATATATCAAGTTTCCAAACGATGGCACTGATCCCGACCATGTCCTTCTGCTTCGCACGAGGGCGAGGCTAAGTCAATCCACGCTGTCTGTCGTAGAAAAATAATATCGATAGTACAAATATAGTAGTCGTAGTAATAATGGTGTTAATACTAATAAGAACATTGATAGCACTAGTATCATTATTTAATGCTCAAATAAAAAATGGCATTGGTAGCAACATCTTCATCATCATAGGAGATACTTTTTTCATGCTGCTGCTACTACTACTACTACTACTACTACTACTACTGCTACTACTACTACTACTACTACTACTACACTACTCCTCCTACTACTACTACTACTACTTCTACTGTCACCACTACTATTAATTTAGGCTGCCACCTGGCGCAAACCCCAAAGCCGTCAGTCCTAAACTCTCAGCCAGGAAAGAAGGTCTCCATGTATGCACGCCGGAGGCGTGTCAGGACTGCGAGTGGGGTGCTATTATGCTATTCCACGCCGACCTCGACTTCCTGGAAGTTTGTTTAGGTCAAGCAGAATCAGAGGGTTGAGTGTCCAGTCCTGATTTTGCCGTAAGCCAGAACAGTGCTGCGTAGGCCATCAGAAGCCAATCTCTGAATACCCATACAGACTCCTGCCTTTGTCGCAGCTTGAGAACCCACGGATTGCATGCAGGAAATCTGGAAGGTTACAGAGCCTTTCGACGACATGGATAAGGCAGCCTGGAAAGCTTCGACTTGGGGAGCAGGATTCGAACACGTTTTTTGAGTTCTTTTGTGATTATCAAGCAGAATACCCCCATCCTCCTCCTATCGCGATAGACACAGCACCGATCCAAAGCCTTGGCGCGGAAGGTCTTCTTTGCCACCATGGTGATCCTTGGAGAAGATCGGGATCTGAGCTGGAATGGCGTCCGAGGGCGCGCGGGCTGCAGTTGATGGAGCCGCTCAAATCTGTTTCGGATCCAGGGTGGCAGCCCGAAGCTCGAAGTTCCGAATGCGGGAAGGATGAAACCGCCCCCAAACCATGGGATGTGGGTGCTGTCCTAGCCGTGGGGGAGGCAAAGAAGCCTAAATCATGGCCTCAACTTATGTCTTTACATCTGAACACCGAAAAGCTATAACAAGTATGGGCTTTTCCCAGAGGCCAACACCAAGTTGAGTAAATCCTAAGCACGCGGCTTAAGGGTTTGAGGATGGAGCACAACTGTGCTTGTCGATCTACCTCTGTATCTGCCTACCTATATCTATCTGTCTATCTATCTATCTATCTGCCTGAATCTACCTTAAGCCCTTAATCGCAAGCCCAATGCTCTAGATCAGATCTACAGTCCCTTCTGTCCTCTCATATCACATGACACCTTGAAACCACGTCTGGCAAGTCCGAGCTGTGAGAGCCTACAAATCCCCACAGCAACCCAAAAGCCCTAAAACCCTAAACCCTAAACCCTAACCGCCCAAAAACCCCAAGCTGCTCTCAGGCTCATGAAGAAGCCAGGCGTTTTCCTGGAGAAGCTTCACAGCTACGACACATCCCACGTGACTGAGGTTCGAGTGTGCCTTTCTCTGCATCGGGTTTTAGGGTTTCGGGCATATAGGGCATGAGAAAGGGCTCATAGGGTTTCGTATAGTCTGAGGCAGTGTGAATTCATAGTTTGCCGGCTTGTGTGCTGAGCCCTAGATACCTACTTGACGCTAGTAAAGTGTGTTCCGGTGTGGGGGCGAAAGAATTCCAGCAAGCACGTTTGGCCATAGGTATCTGATGGCGATCCGAACTTCTAGCCACCAATGTTTGGCTCATGTGCCTGATCTTAGGAATACTGAATGTCGTGCTCTTCTCAATGCTGAAGATCGATGTTGCACTTGTATCTTATTCGGGGGGCGTCAGTACAAACCACGTCCGTTATCAAACGACAGCATCAGCTGGTGCTGCGTTATGCACTAATATTGGCAGCAATGACTGAAACGCACCTCAGCCGGGCATGCAAATCTCGACAACATTTACGGTCAGGAGAACACAGAGAAGGCTGCGGTATGAGCAGCACCAATCACAGCAAGTTGGGAATATGACCCGACAGCTTACAACAGCAAATCAGTCCAAGGGAAATCACCAGTGAGTATTCGACAGCCAATAATCGTGTTCATCATCACCCTCATCAATCACCGGTGTTTGTTGCATTTGGTTGTCCCTTCCTTGTTGCGCAGGATTGCTGGAAGTGTTAAACAACTGCTGTATGTGAGACATGCCTTCTGCTCCGCAGACCACCCTGCGCAAGCTCAAGTTTTTCACCTCAAAGGACACACTGCGGGAGATATGTTGTCTTCGGAGATGCCATTGCAAGGGCTTATCGCTGCTATCTCAGTTCTGAGACTTCGTAGTTGATGCATCTAGTCTCGTCAGAACCTACTACAAAAGTACTGATGTGCCTGATCCTAGAGAGGCCGAGCCAAGCGGTGTCAGGCAAATTTGGATGGTTTGGGCTGGTCGCTGGTGTAGCAGCTGCTGCATGCATGGGAAGAAGCTGCTTTTGTTTGTCGGCTACATGATACAAGCGTTTGAGCAATTTCTAGTAGTGTCCTCTTGTAGTCCCCAAATACTTATAGTACTTTACACCAGCACCCTATTCAATTTATCAAGCCCCCCTCTACTACTATCTGCTATTGAGCACTATCGGACCATCGAGGGTGCATCTGCTTAGCTTCTACGTATTGCTGCACTTGCACCCCTAGCCAGTGTACCAATATCGATGTCGCTATGATGATGATCATGATGTTGATGATGATGGTGATGGTAGTGTTGTTGCTAATGATGATATTGGCGAAACTTAGCACCATCATTGCCATCGTACCGCGCATCACTTCCATTGTTCAACAAGATTTGCATGATTTGCTGTGTGCTACTCTAGGACAGCGTTATCTCCACGACATTTGTGATCAACATTGCGGTGGGCCGGATGATCATGAATATGCTGTCTGCGCAGGGCTTCAGACGTAGCAGCATTGCACAAAGCTGTCAGCATGGGGTTGATGCGTTTCATCACCAAGCCCAGACGCTGTTTGCAGGAAGCGCGAGATCTGCTCAGGTATCATGATATACTATGATATGCCATACTGTAATTGTCATATACCATCATCAAATCAGAATGCCTTTGCAGCAGTCCGCTAGTCATCACTCAGTACGACTTGCAATGATCAGAATCCGGAACTCTTCTCCCTAAGCCCATTCCGACATGGGCCCCTGATCCCCTGTCATGGAGGACTACTTCACCCAAGAACGGTTCAAGCCTCTGGCTCAGACATGCAGGGTTTAGGGTTTAGGGTGTGGAAAGACTATGATTGTTAGGAAGCTGAATTCTTGGCAGCCTGGTCCTCGTCCTCTGAAGCCGTTGAAGAATCCCGAACCTCCTAATGCAGATAGTCCTAGTAAGTGGACCAGTTGTCGTGAAGCCTTGCCTGTCTTGTGCGGGCATGAGAGTCGGAACCCCGGAACCCGAGGCTGGAACCTACCAAACCCCTAACCTTGACAATCCAAGCCCCTGCAAAACCAAAACCCTTCAAGCACTCGAGATTCTAAAAACTCTTGCATTCTGGGCCTTTCGCGCGAAGGGGGAAGCCCGACTTAACTTGAAGCCACGCCCACTCTCGCAGCAAAGCCCTCACCACTGTTCTCCAATGAGCATCGAGGTAGTAGGTTCTGTGCTCCATCATGGAGTCGTCCAGGGCAGCCTGCACCTAGCGGACAAAATCCTGAAAATCTCGTGCTCGTACTGCCAAGGCAAGGGCACGTAGTTGTATGGCCCTTGCTGCAGTTTACGCCCACCCGAACCCTTTGACCCCCAAAGCCCCAAGCCCCTAAACCCTGAGGCTTCTCCCTGAATTCTGAAGCCCTCATCCTTTAACCCTGGTATTCCGTGTCGTCGCCACCGATTCTCTGCAAATCCTCCAGGATTGATGGACCAAGCCATGGACCGCCACATCCAAAACAGTACCCCGAATATTATAGAGGCCTAACAAATACCTATACTATTTTGGGGGCTCCTTAATATGGTTACTATAATATCACTCTATGGTATTATCCGAATATTGTCAGGTCTCATCATTCCATGGTCTACGCGCTGTGCTGCTGGGTACCTGCCTTGCAGTGATCAGTTCAAAATTTAGCATTTGAGGCTCTGGGCGTCTGCTGGCTTCCGGCAGCTGCGTGTTGTCTTGCTCTTGCTCTTGCTCTTGGCTTCGACGAGCAATCCCGCAATCCAGACTCGAGTGACTCTCGCCCAGCGCATCTTACCCCTTAGCCTGTGCATCGCTCAACTCAAGACCCGCCTTACAAACCCCCACAGCCGTATGGAATCTCCTTTCCAGAGGCCTTAAACCCTAAACCCTAAACCCCAAACCCCTAAAGAGGCCCCTTAAGACCCACTACTTCCAAAGCCCGGGCCCGGCTCCGAGCGAGGCACTCGCCATCGCCTCGACCGAGCTGAAGAGCACCAAGAGGCATTGATAGAATAAATGGAATTGCAGAAGGCAGGGCCCGGGCCATAGGGTTTAGGGATTAGGGAATAGGGTTTAGGGTTTAGGGTTTACATTCTATAGACGGGTCTACATTGGCTTTGTCGGTGCTTTACAGGCAGGGTTATTGGGTGTCTACACGGTTTTTTTTGGGTTACGGCTTGGGGTATTTTCGGGTTCAACTTCTTGAAGGGAACGAGCAGTGTGTAGTTCAGGTGTTGGGGGGAACCAACTAAAATCACCACTGAGGGTCATACCACTGAGCCTATGCAAGCTAATACATCCTTTGCTCCTTTGAAGCTCAGGGAGTTCTTGGCATTCGTTACGGTCATACGACTCAATTCCAGTCTCCGTGCAGGTCTTTGGGGTTTGCTTTAGGGTTTACCACAGTGCCGACCTTCTACCCTGCAAGAGTAGCCAAGTCTACCCCGCAAGAGTAGCCAAGTGTGCTGCCTGACAGACAGGCTTGACGCTTCGAATGCTTGGGAGTGAGAGAGAGCGGGAGAGAGAGGGTATTTCGCTTTTTACCATCCAAACTGGCCAGCAGCCCTGATGGCTGAAGGGTTCACTCGTTAGGTTCAGTCCATATCACCCGAACCCTGAACCCGAAATTTCTAAAGACCTTTAAACCGAACCCAGAAGCCTAGATCCTGACCCCCTCTCAGCCAGATGTTCCATATCATAGAAGCCTGTAGCCAGCACGACTGTATCCTTAGTCCTTACACTTGCTTCTTGTATCTGGGGTATAACCCCCCGTCCTGTCAGGTAGAACACTCCTTCCCAAAAAAGGAAAACATAAGCTTTTCTTGTTATTGGTACCGACGTGCTGTTCACGCGCGGCGTGCACAGGCCAAAAGCCTGAAAGTGCGGCGCTTGCCACGTAATTCTGCTTGACCTACTAGTTCAAGCTTGGAGCGGCGCGCGTGAACAGCACGTCGGAGCGTTGTTACTATTGCCGCTATCTTAAACTCTTGCGGGGGAGGCACGGCTTAGCATGTATTCTCCGCTCAAGCCAGGCTGCTTTTGCGCAACCTGGCTGGCCAGCTCTGACTGCTTAAAGGGTCGAGGGATTTAGGGTTTTGAGGGTTTTTAGGGTTTCGGGTTGAGGTTTCTTGTCTGGGTTTCAGGTATTTGGCAGGCAGGCTTTGGGTTTCGAAATTAGGAGTGTCGGGGGATCCAACGCCTTATGGCAAGAACCTTACATCACTTGCCCGGGATACACCCGAACTTATAGCATACATCCAGTTCCCATGAGCCTTTGAGTACGCAACCTGCCGCAGCTACTCCGCGGCAGGGAATTTTCCACTGTCACACCTCTCTGTCCTCCAGAGCTTTACTGACATAATCTGTGGCGAGGCAGCACGTTGCAGTGGTAACACGGACTAACATAAATAAAATACGCTGGAGAGAAAATTGCCGGCACGTGCAGATACGTTCTTCTACGTGAACCACCAGGAACACTGTTCTTGACGTAAGCATAAGCATTTTATAGGGATATCCCTACCATGTTGGGCTTCATTATAAGGGGATTCATATGGGATATCCCTATCCTAATTTTTGCTTATGTGCTTTTTTGGGGCCCTATGTTCGGAACGGAAGAGGCAGAGCCCTGAAGCCTTAACGAAGTCTTTTCAAGCTGGGCTGCCCTCAAGTTTTCGGGTAAGGAGCGATACAGGCTTGTATGTATAGTGCATGTTCTGCTATGTGTGTACATATGTATATATATATATATATATAGATATGCGTTTAGATGTGTAGCATGTGTGGTATAAACAGCATGTGCGGAGGATGGAGCATTTCGTGACATTCAAAGCAGGGCCATGCCGGGATCGACTGCAAGCCGGCAGGGGGATCTGAAAACTAGGGTTGCCTCTGTCTGGAGATCCCTATAGTATATATATATATATGTACATATATATATATATATGTTGTAAATATATACTTACTAAGGATCCCACTCTTTGGTGTAGGGTTTGGGGTTCATTACTAGTGCAGTCACGAGAGCTGAACCTCCGCGTGCTCAGACCTTCAGGCCATTGCACAGATCCTGAGGCAAAAACGGGTTTCATTGCCAAGGGGTGTAACATTGGCAGAGTCTGGGCTAAAAACAAAAGGGGTGTAACATGGGTCACCCTAGACCCCTAAGTTAAACCGCTAAACCGACGTCTGAGGTTGGTCTGAGGTTTGCTACAGGAGTCAAGGTGTGTTGGGCTCAGAGCCTGAGATCGATGTCGGCTTACAGCAATTGTCCTGGGCTTTCCGGAAACAGTCCGTGAAGAGGCCCAGCAGAACTTGAAGGAGCACTGGACGACTTCTAATAGAAGACGGAAAAATAGAGTACTACAACATGTGCAGCGTGCCCCCAAACCCTGTTCCAGCTAGTAAGGTTCCTTATTACTGGACTCCATATGTTGCTGGGGAGCAGCATGGCCTTATCTGGCATGAGCCATAAGCTGTTTAGCTACTGTAAAGGCTACTCTGCGGGTTCCTACATGAGGGTTATTACAGGGTTGCTTCTAAGTACGGTTACTGCGCGGGTTCCCATAAGGGTTACTGGTTGCTAAATGGGTCTGAGGTTGTCTTTGTCCTGCTGGAAGTCCAACTCCGAAGTGTTCAGGCATGTGGTCCCAAGCTGCCCCTGCTGTGCTTTAAGGTAGCATGCAACAAACATGTGGGAGTTTCCAAAAATAAGTGGTACCTTATTTTGGGGTCCTTATAAGGATCCTACTATCTGGGGTACTATATTAGGGTCGCCTATTTTCGGAAACCCCCATGTAAGGCTACTACTATAACTGTCAAAGTCTATGTCAGACCAGGCGATCGATTGCGAGTGGACTCTAGAATGTCAGAGGCGTTCTCGGCATGATAACATGGAAGCCGGCCCGGACCGAGACATTTGCTGGGAGTCAGCATGTGTGGGATACCGGATCAATGTTATTATTAGCTTGCCATTCATATCATTAGCATTGTCGCTGTGCCATTCTTACTATTTTTTACTGCTATACTACTGTTATGATTATTATGATTGTTATTATTACTTTATCGCTATTATTAGTACTATGATTATCATTAGAATGGCTAATACCGTCGTTATTCCTTGGGCCTGGCAGCTGCTGTTGCGAGTCAACCTCACATCTCTTGACATCTCTGATTCTGCGCAGGATATAGAAAACTAGATACTTACCAATGTTATTCAGTAGGTGGCTGATTAGATCTCCAGTTATCTCCATTATAGTGTACCCCAAAACCCTACTCCAATCATCCTAAGGCTCCTACAATACTTGAGCCAAGGCACCTAGACAAGGCTGCAGCTTCGGGACCACATGCGCTTGGCTCTCCTAGAGTCCTAGAGAGGCATCCCAACCTGGATGACCTCACTTTTTGCATACATCCTTTTGCAGTCAGGCTCAATGTCGGCTTCGGGATTGAATCACTCAGAGGTTCGTGCAGCCAGAGATTCAGGCTTGGTGCTCGTTGCTTGCGGCTCATAGAGCCAGTTTCGACGTCCGTCTAGATGAGATGCGCAGATCTGGTTATTATCCAGGCCTTACTCAGCCTAAACCGCAGTGCCCTACACCCCGACAGCCCTCAAATCCCAAGCCCCAAAGCCTGAAAGCTTTAAACCTGCAAACCCTAAGTCCTGGCCCTGAGGACCAAGCACAGCCACCCATCAGTAGGATAGGTAGGTAGACAGATGGATGGATAGAAAGAAATATAGATAGACCCATCGGTTGATAGATGAGGAGCTAGATCGATCGACAGATCTATGCATGAGTGGATCGATGGATACATGGGACAGAGTGGATAAGTTAGACAGGCAGATACATAGATAGATCGACAGATAGACAGATAGATAGCTGGAACCGATAGATATGGAAGCTAGGTAGATAGATAGACAGATAGACAGACAGCAAGACAGACAGACGGACAGACGGACAGACGGACAGACGGAAAGACAGACAGACATATGTATATATATATATATATATGTATAAATATTACTAATACATATATATATATATACACATAGAGAGAGATAGAGATAAAGATGGACATAGGTATAGATATATATATATATAGGGAGAGATATAGAGAGATATGTGCAGACGCAGACATACGTCTGCATGATTTCTGACTTGTTATGCCGGCTTTGTCCTAGCGTTTGTCACGGTTTATCGGCGCGATGACTATTTCTAACATATCGTCATGAGTGCTTTGTTCTCAGATTTACAAATGGCAGATGGTTCGATCGTTTACTTCTGTGAATCACTGAAGTCCACACCGATGAGGTCGAGAATTTTAGTAGAAGCCCAAAAACTGGAAATCCAAAAGCCTCAATCCTTACGAGTAATGCATAGGGAATCCCAGCACCAATTGTCCTTCATCCGGTTTCGAACTTTTTGGGATTTACTTTCAGGGTCCAGAGTGTAGGAGCACCGCCTGTTGGGCTGGCAAACGCCTGCGCCGCTCTAATCACATGTGGCCGAAGCAGTACACAAACAACGCGCTGTGTTCTGACAGCTTACAGTGAGAGTTTGGATACGGTGATAGTATCGTTGAAGCCGTTTCTGTTTTGCTATCAGCATTCCTGAACACGATGACGCATCACTGGTTAGCTGACATTGCGGTTCTGTTGCCTATTTATTGTTGTCTGGGTGTCAAGATAGTCGAATGCCGGCATCATAATTATCCTGATCCTCGTCCTTTTCGTCATCGTCCTTCTTTCACGCTTCCATCTGCATGGTTTGGAAGCCCCTCAAGCCCAGTACTCCACACCATGAAAACTAAACAGCCAAACACATGGACTACATGGATCCAGTCACTGATTGCGAATCCGGAACCTTTCGTCTCCCGATTGCCTTTCGAGTTCATGTCAGCGGAGCTTCTGTTTCTGGCGGGACAGCTGACTATGCGGTTGACTGGGTATTTGGAGTTCGGGCCAAGCAACTTCAAGCAACCGTTAGCTGAACGGGTGTGGCAGAGCATGGGCTGAGATTGGCTGTCTCAGGGATTTGGTGTCAGTAGAGACAAGACTCAATGTAACGACTCGACTCCGGACGTCTCCATTCCGAAGCAGCAGTTTGAGATTGTTGTGAGCTTGGGATGATGCGACTTGCAGAGGCCCGAGGTGGAATTGGAACGCAGTTGATCATTCGGATACATGCTTAGGGGCATGATGCCTCAGTACATGTGTTTGGGAACCTGAAGTGGGAGCTTTTGTGCACGAAATGCGCAAGAAAGCTGGAACTCTTTTCTGCCAATGAGCCATCCGTGAAGAGTCAGCCCACGCTTCTCGACTGCCGCTGGCTTGGAGCCGTTGTCATAGCTTCGGCTTGGTAACCCACAAGCCCCTCATGTTAGACAAAAGACAAGTTCTAAGTGCTTCTGTTAAGCAGCAGGTGAGTGACCCCAAGGTTCGTGACAAACTCCTGAAAACACTGGGGCAGGGCCCGGGTAGTGTATGGTATTCGGCGCTGCTCTTGTTTTTGTACAAAAGCATCGGCAGACCACCCAAAACGAGACGACCCGGGTGTTTACACGTAGCTTTCTGCGTGCTTTTAATTCGGGCCGCAGCAGACCCGTGCTGTCCTCAGACCGATGGCGGATGAAGATCGGGCATGTTGGCATGTCCGCAATATAGGGAGCTCGGTTCGGATGTATCCGATATAAATGCAACCCCAAATAAACAACTTAACTAAATAGACAAAAACTGTGTAGATGTGTGTATATATATATATATGTGTGTATGTATATACAAATAAAACAGTCTCCATTGTAGTTCCGTTTTGGGATTACCTTATGGGATTCTGTTTTTGAGCCCCAAAAAGGAACCACTATGGGGCCCATGGGTAGGACTAAGAACAGCATCTTGCGGGACTTGGACTAAGAATGGAACAACGCTGGAAGGTCGTATGGAACATGGACCGGCTCGCTTCTTTGCCTGTTAGATTTCCTGCGACATTGTAAACTGTTCTCGGACAGACTCCCGCACCTGCCTGCATGGTCTCCGATTTCTAAATAGGCAGCCTTACGTGCCACTGCAGCAGACGCCATGAAATCTGAAGCTTATGCAGCGGCTTCAACCTTGAATCCACAAGCCCCAAAGCCAAAGAGCTGCTGAGGTCATGTTGCCCTTCCCGGCACCTGCCAGCTCTGCTCTCACTACCCAGTGTTTTTTTGGAGTAGTGAGTAGTGCATTTATACTGTGTGTTTGTAGCTTGCTGTTCCGTAGAGGGCTTCTGTGCTGTGGCATTCTTACGAGGGCGTTTTAGCAAAACAGTTCGGTGAAGAGTGGGCAGGATTCTCGGTCCGGTGTAGACAGAACATAAAGAGTCGTGACCAGACGCCGAACTTTGTAGCAGGTTTCATGGTTGCACTGCAAGTCAACAGGTTTGGAAGACTCTCGCCCTGTGCCTGCAAATAATGACGAGGGTGCAGGGATAGCAGGAGACGCGGCAGAGGCCAGATACTACTGATGGCAACACGGTCTGCTAGATAAGACGTCGAATACGAAGTGGTTCTGGTGGTGGCTGTGGTGGATTCAGCAAGCAGTTGTTAGATGTTGCGACGCTACATTTGACCTTGCTTCTATGTCCATGCAAGTGTTCGCTTCTTACCGACTCCTTTCCTTCAAACATCATGGTGTCCGGCGCAGCTAAGAGTTATTCCTGTCCGCCCGGCCCTCGCAGCCCTCGCAGCCCTCGCAGCTCGAAGCTCTCGGCAGCACGGAAGGTTCCTCCTTAAATCTCTATCCAGTCGGGCCTGAAACTACCCATAGGCCCCATAGTAGTTCCTTTTTGGGGTTCATATTCAGAGTCCTATAAGGTAATCCCAAAAAGGAACTACTATGCGGCCTATGGGTATACATGAGAAGGCGTAAGCAAGAAAGGTCCCGTGTCAGCATGGTTTACAATGACTTCGCAGGGCAGCGGCGCTTGCACTGCAAGCTCGAAGCTTGAAGAAAGACCGGATTCCAAAGCAATCTTGTCTTCCACATCATCAACGATGATACCTAGAGGACTCTACCAGCCTGCATTTTCAGCATCGATCAACTACCGGGAGGAGGATCCTCTCCGTCAGACTGTCGTTTGCGGCCCGTGCCATGCAGCCTGCACCAGACTCGCTCCGACGTGCCTCCCCTTCTGACGGGCGTACCCACAAATGGGGGCGGGGGGGGGGGAAGAAAGGACTTTTATGGTGCCCTTGACCCATTAACCATGGAATCCAACGATTCAGCTGCCATGCTGGAGGGCCCGAGGGTCGAAATTACGAGTCAGTGGCTTATGAAGCTCGACGGCTCTGCTGTGGCGTTAGCCAAGTTTGGCAGGCGCGTTAGGAACAAAAGGCGACCACTGAGTTTGGAAGCAGCACATGAGAAAGATGGGGTCATCAACAGTTGTTTGGATGATTCTCTAAACCCGCAAAGGCCCACACTGAGAAGGAGACAGATGTAGATGCTAAGGAGGTGTTTTCGGTTTGTTCGGCTCGCGCAGGTACTGATCAGGCATCACCGTCGGCATGGCGGCATTCCTATTCAGGACGCAAGCTTGACTCAAGCTCATCAGACCACGGGGGACTGCCGCCTTCAACATTATTGTGGCAGTTGGACTACGTAGGATACAGAATCCATGACACTGAGACAGCAGATTTATGCGAATGGTCCAAAGGGCATCACGGAGCTCCTATGTGATGGAAGCACCAGCAGGAGTGGATCCTATATAACCGTTAAATCTCGAAACCTAAACGCAAAACCGCCTTCAACCCGGCCAGAACCGAGCGGAAATGTTTTGGTGGGGCTACCGCATAGCTTCCATAGGTGCTTTGAAGGAAGTGGTTCTTTCGTACGATTGACGTTATCTTGGTTTACGCACTTACCCCAGCATCGCTAGCATTACGGGGCTTAAGCTTAATCCCTACTTAGTTTCTACTGTCTTATCGGCAAGTCTTGCAGCTTCCCGTGTCAAAACGAACCATACGAACCTACCTGTAGCTCTGAGCCCATAAAGCCCACTCCGATGAAACAGAAGACACCAGACCCTGGCCCTAAACCCTAAACCCCTGGCCTCTCTTCAGGCATGTCTACAAGTAGCTTCGTAGGTCCCAAGTGCCTTCCTGTGACGCCCATGCCCCGAAAAGCTAAAGCCGAAGACCTCGGCCTTGTCAGGTTAAGTATAAGTAAGGCTTTTTTTCTTATAAGGATAGCCCTATCTCAGGCACTTATAGCCCCCCGAAATACAGCCCCACTTACAAAGCCTCTTCGCCCTAAGTCCAGAAGCCTCTACTTGCAGTTGCCCCTCAAGATGTGTCAGAATCAGTAAACCCTAAACCCCCTAAACCCTAAACCCTAAACCGTGGCCCTTTACCCTAAGCCCTAAACCGTGGCCCTAAACCCTGAACCCTAAACCCAAAACCGAATCAGGAGAGCCTGGCGCCGTCTGGACGCCACCGCCTGGAGCCTTCAGGTGGCGCATGGCTTGGGGTTTAGGATTTAGGGTTTAGGGGTTTAGGTTTAGGGGTTTAGGGTTTTGGGGTTTAGAGGGATGGAAGGTTCAGGCTTCAAGGTTTGGGGGGAAGTTGTAGGCACACTTGACCCCTCTAGATTCGGTGATTGTGATTCTGTGGATTCGGTGATGAATGTCATGAGATGTTCGTATTTTGGGTGATGACGCTGGGGTGACAAGTGTGAGACGGTGGTGACGATGACGGCGACAACGATGTTTGCGTTGGACAGTTCGTGTGATGTCGATGAGGATGCTCGTCCTGATCCGTGTCTGACGGTGATAGTCTGAGAGTTTGTAGTGCAGAGGATGACAACGCTGATACCACCATGACAGTGAGCCAACACGACAAATGTAAACTTTGTGATGGGCTTTGAGAGTTAGCCGCTATCCTTTACACCATCTTGTGCAGCTGTTTTTGTTAGATATGCACTCCTTTTCTTTCCGAGGGCCTTCATGGCCTCATGAAGTCTAAAAGCGGGCAGGGTTGAGCTTTGAGGGTTGCCGGGAGTCGCGTCCGATCTTCAGTGGCTCTCCCTTTTTTGAAAAACTTGGATGCTGTTTTGGAGAGCTCCATGGAGAGCTTCTGGTACAAAATCAAAGGGCTATGAGGGAGAGCCCCATCACGCGAGGTTGTGAAAAAAACGTCAGTGCAAGAATCCGTCAGCCCAGCCTCGAAGGCCCTCCATGCCGCAGATGGCAGGACTGGCAGTGTTTCTTGAGTTTCTCAGAGGTGCCGCCGTCAGCCAGGCAACAAATCATCGATTGGGGTTTATTAGTCGGCCCTGCCTCCGAACGCATGGGAACCGTATGAAGCTGTTTTCATGTTTCCTATACACTCCTGTTTTGAACTTCTTGTCTTCCGCACCATTGATTGAAACAGAGATGCTTCCAGGGCCAGTGCGTGGGTGGAAGCTTCAGGGTTCCCAGGGTCCCGATTTAGGGTACTGCTGTTGGGCAGGATACCAGCGGCGCCATACCACCATGCCTGGCATGCTCGACGTGCCTGACGTTCCGGACGTGTGGGAATATCACAACCGGCAGGCCTCGGAATGACCAAGATCGCTTGAGTTGTCCTGGTAGTACTAGCAGTCGTCGTCGTTGTGATCGCAGTCTTGGGAGCAGCAGCAGCAGCACTAGCAGCAGCAGCAGCAGCAGCAGCAGCACTAGCAGCAGCAGCAGCAGCAGCAGCAGCAGCAGCAGCAGCAGCAGCAGCAGCAGCAGCAGCAGCAGCAGCAGCAGCAGCAGCAGC